GCCGCCATGGCGGAGCATGCTGCGTCATTGCCGCCCTGCAGGCCCGCGCTCAAGCAGCTCGCAGCACGTAGACACAAGCGTGGTCTTTAATACAGGGTACATAGAGGCGCCAGCGGGCGCACTACTCCGCAGCCCCGCGGTCCCCGTACGCTCGCGCAGTCTCAAACCACAGCTGCTCCACGGCCTCTTGGCCCAGCTCGAACATTGTCATCAAGTGTTTCCATCCGCTCTTGGCTGTGGTCATGAGGTACTCCCTATTCTCTGGGTAGAGCAGGGCCGTGTGCGCTGCTATGACCAGTGACTGGGAGAACCGCCCGCTCACCAGGAGGAAGAGAGCAGCTCTCTCCTCCGCGGTCAGGGGCAGGACGCTCTCGAACCCTGCCAGCACGTGCCCCCCGACCCGCAGGGGATCCGCGCTCTCAACCATCATGTACATGATGATTATCGCCACTTCAAACACGTAGTACCCGTAACTCATGTCACTGAAATCCAGGATGCCAGACACTCTGTACTGAGGAGACTCCGGGGAAGTGGAGCTGGAGTCTACTAAAATGTTGTGGTCGTTAAGGTCTCCATGATTGATACCTAAATGCAGAAGAAACAAAGATGGTATTGGACAATAATCAAACACCAGAATCTTAACTTTTTTCTTTTTTTCTTCTCCTTTCTCGGAGGCTCAAACTAGCCAGGGGACTGCAAAACCATACCACAAAACCATACCAGTCTCCCTCAGCATCAAGCATGGCAGGGTTGCTGTAACTACTGCTGTCTTTCACGGTCATACTGCTTCCTAGGAACCTCAATTCCTCACCATCTGATGATGAGGTAGATAAAAGTAATGCTAGGAGATCTTATTTTGCGCTAGGAGAACCTGCAATGCACTATGTGTTTTCAAAACCCAGAAAAGCAGAACCTTCCATCGCCAAATCATTGTAAACATTTAATGCAAGTTGCATTCAAAAATTATGATTTAATCATGATTTTGGACCTTCTAAAAGGAAAAGGAGGAGAGTGCTCGATATATTCTTACTAAGCTGACATAACAGCATGAAAATTATCAACTTTAATTGTAAGCTATCTCAGCAGAAAGATCAAGACCAGAACATGGCTCTACCAGTCCTGCACAACGCATTTTTTTCTGGCACGTTCTGCAGTGCGCTAATTCAGCGGAGTATGTGCTACAGACAAAGGAAACAATTTTTGCTTATAGTGCCTTTTCCACAAACACAAATTCCTGTAAAAAAATCAGTGTCTCAGTTCAGTGTAATTTTAATAAAAATAAAATACTCACAGGCTCGAAAACTAGTTAGCTTTGGTATTACTTTCTCTTTAAATTGCTGAATAACCTGCTCCACAACTTCACGGTGTTTGTTCTGGCCCACGGCATAAACGTACTGGTCTAGAAGAGGGACATTTGCCAGGTTCCAGATGAATTGCCCTCGATGCAGACTTTTTACTGATGGATGGTGGAATTTCTTCAGAAAAAAAAAAAAAGAGAAAACTGGCCATGAAAAACTGCGACTTCCACTTATTTTCGGTCAACGTGTAAACGAATAATCTGAAAGCTGATTAAAGTGACTACCTTCATATCTACACCCATATTCAGCACTTAAAACATTTCAAATCAGTATCAAGCCACAACATTTCTGTAATGAGACGCGCACACAGCGGCCGTGAGGGTCGGCAGTGCAAGTGGCACCCTTGGCGGCACCGGGATCGCACAGCCAAAAGCTCCCGAAGCCCCGGCGTGCCCATTGCAAACACCTCCTTGGCATTTACAAGTGGCTGCTTCTGGGGTTGAGCCGTGGGATCCCCTAGAGCACATCAAAAATGCTGAGGACAGAAGTTCTTTGAAGACATGCAAAAGTTTTATTTTTATGAGAAGTTACTACAGGATCTCCAATGTCCAGGCAGCACGCACAGATTCACACGCAGTAAGCTACATGCATCTAGTTTTACTTGTTGGGAAAGTAGAGGGACTCAAATCGGCTTATTTGCTTTGCTTTTGTACATTCAGGCAGCCTAAACAGTTGGAACAAGCAACGCCCTAAACGAAAAACACAGGTTTTGAACTGCTGCAGAGAGCACTGCTTCGTTAGGGAGGAAGCTCTCTGGTGAGCAAACATTGCAGTATTCCTTTTTTTTTTTTTTCCCCTGGCAAAACCAGATATTCCAGCAAGACGTTAATGAGATCACATGTGTCAGGTAATAAAAAGTCAGATCTCACAATCTCACAAATCCTTGTGCTCATAAAGCTGCAAACATTAACTTGTTTCCATTTAGAAGTTGAGACCTGCTCAAGCAAAGGCAAAATGAACCAGTAAAGCAGCTGCAGCGACTGCTTTGGGCATGGAAGGCACTGGTGGATGGTGAGGAAGAAAGAGGCTGTATTTTTTGATCAGTCATTTGTAGTTCTCCGAGGTACGACTTTTGGGGTCAATAATATTTTACAATTTTAGCAATAACAACTGTATGGTCATTTCTTTAAAATGACAAGCTGTGGCTGTTGGGGTCTCACAAGTTAGGGGCAAACAAAACCCTTCCCATCAAAATTTGCTCTCTCATGTAGTATTTTCTTCCTGACATATCACAGGCATGCTAGCTGGTCTGTATAAATCGTTTCAATCACATTATAAGAGCATGACCACAGTGGTCAAAAAGCAGCAGTAAATTATCTTTCCCAATTGAAAAATGCTCTTATAATTTAAGAATGTGGTTAGCAAAGCTGGCAATTCACATTTCATAATTGTCTGAAGCCGGTAGCCAGAACATGAGCAGGAAAGGTTAATGAAAGGCAATAAATAATGCAAGAGTTCTTTTATGTATCAAACTTAATTACTAGCTGATTTATCAGCTCTATAACCCTGTATAATTACAGAGAGAAGGAAGAACTTATTTTTCATTAAAATTACTTGACTGGAAACAGTGTTACAAGTCTCTGTTGATCAGTACAGCTGGCCTGATAGAAAAGGAACCAACTGCTACTGCTGCTAAATGGCCACAGTTCTGATAAGCAGGAGAAAGAGAGTAAGTCAAAATGAATTCAAAATGATACATCAGCCAGTTGCGCCTGCCTGACTGGTGCATTATACAGCAGTGCTTTACACGTTTCTATGCAAAGAAGATTAACATCTCATTTGGGTGGCCTCGGGTTCACTCTCCTCATGCACCAGGCTTGAAACATGAGTTTTGCTTACTTTAAAAAAAAAAGTCCTTTTCTCTTCCTTCGTGGTACAACATTGTATTGTAGAAAGACTTCAAAGGCCATGCCATAAGGACCAACTGGTCATGCTGCTGGAGGAAACACTTTAATAATAAACAGCTTTCACGGGTACAGCATGGAGCTTGTCACCTGGAAAGCGAGTTGCACTCTGACATCTAGATTCACCAGCTTGAATTTGCAGATCAGACAGCAAGCCCAGGAAGAAATAATACGTGGGAAGGTAATGGAGGATGGACTTTGGGGAGGCCAGAGCAAGAGACACTCACCTCTGCAAGAGCTTTATCCAATCTGGCAGCGAGCTTACCAATGTCATACAAAATCTGCGTATTTGCAGTGATTTTTGCCACAGGTACACCCGGCAGGTATGTCAGCAGTCTGACCATGTACTTTTTGTTCCCAGTACCTAAGAAGCAGAGAGGCAGTCATTTCAATATATTGCTGGGTATTAGTTAATGCAAGATGCTGAAAAGGTTTTTACCAGTGCAGAAAAAAAAGAAGTTGTCCCAGGCAGCTGACAAAAGAGGTTTCCTACAAAGACTTGATTTACCAGCGGTGCACAAGCCCGTGCACCCCTGAACACTGGTGCAGGTTCTGGCAGGCTCCGAGCCCTCTGCGCACCCAGGGGCCACCCCGAGCACGGGGCTGCAGGGCTGCAGGCCTCGGGCTCCCAGCTTTTGTACAGAGTTACAGCCAACATTACAGCACAACGGGAACACAGCTTTTATTTTAAGCACCATTAAACCAATTTATTCTGGCATCATGGAGAGGCTAGAAGTGTATTTTACACCATTCAATGGCCAAAGGATTTGTAACATGATTTTGACAATGAGCTTTTTCCGTTGTGTGTGGCAAGGCCCAGGTCAATCCTCGTTTTCTCACATTCATTATACTGAAATTATATTCTAAGTATTGTCATAATTAATGATTGCTCTTTTCAACTTGTTTGGCTTCTAGCATTTTAAGTTTGGATTCCTATGGCTAGACATACAGTTCATGTGATACAAATACCTCAGTGGATGAAAATAAATGTAGGATTTTTACTTTAGACAATCACATTTTGAATCCAGCTTTGGAGATTCTTCCTGTGCAATTTTGCTACAAGAAAACAAGTCCAGCCAATTAATTCCTAAGCCAAAATAGCTAGTAATGAATAAACCAAGAAAACCAGTCAACAGAAATTAACTGGAAAAATAACCAAGGTAAAAAACCTTGACCTTTTGCCATTCCCAGCCTCCCTATCAGCCGCAGCCCAGTCTCTGCAGAAACTGCCTGCAATAGGAGCAGTCTTGCCCCAGACTTCAAGGCCGCCCTAGAGATGCTTAGAGCAGGGCTCAGATCTCAGCAGCTCTGCGGCTCTTGTGCGGATCAGGGCTGCCTAGGGTCTCTTGGGCTTTTCTTCTATTCCTGATACTTTTTCCCTAAGAGGAAACACGACCCTGCTGCTCTCGGCAGCATCTCTCTGTGCTCCAAAGTGGCTGTTTCCTCAGGGAAGCTCTATTTTAAAAGCAGGAAGGGATGTGGGTCAGGGTCTATACTTAGACATGAGAAAGTCCCAGGCTGCTGCTGCTGCCGGGATTAGGGAATGTTGTGCGAGGAAGCCGAGCACCAGGAGGACATTAAGAGCCTCCCGCTCAGTTGTGACCTGCCCTCGCTCACCCAGGTAGTGCCGGTTGCTGCAGTTAACCCGGGCGCACGTCGGTGCCACGCGGCAGAACGCGGCTGCTCGCGCCGCCGATCCAAGTGCCGTGCTGCAACGCAGCCAACGTGCCCCGCTGGGCGGAGGAGCCCGGCCGGGGCGGCAGCGCTCACCTGCGGGCACCACTGACATGATGCTGCCCTCCTTGGTGGGGCAGGGCGTCGCTGACGGGAAGCCCTCCGCGCTGAGGAACATCATGGCCCGCGTCTGCGCTTCGATGAGCTCCGGCTCCTGGCTGTCCTCCCAGTTGGTGATTTTGAGGACGTACTCAGGAGTGCCCTCAGGCTCCCCTGCCTCCCCCGAGACGCGCACGTGGAAGTTCTGGTCGTCATAGCTGGGGAGAGGCTGGATCCAGGACACCCTCAACCCAAACAGGCTGTCAACCAGCTCGCGTGCTTCTTTCTCACCAAATGTTGGCTTGGTGAGCGCCTGGCCGGTGTTTCCAGAGGACATCGTGTCTCTAGGAGAAGAAACAGACTGGAAGGTCTCCTCTGGGATGTGGCACGAGAGCACACAAAGCGCACTCAGGCACGGGTGGAGGTTTGCTGCTCCTCAGACATGGGGCAGCACGGTTAAGGCAACCAGGATTTCACACCCCCAGAGAGATGCGCTCACCCCTTCAGGAGCAAGTGAACAGCTTAACAACTAGCACCGTTTTACCAGCTAGTAGTAAACAGCAGCACAACCTGGCACACGGGCAGCCGGGAGAGATCTCCTAAGGAAGAGACTTACCAAATTCCCAGCCAAAAACTTCCAGACTTAAATCTGCAAAAGAATTTGAAAAAGAGAACTATTTCAATGGGCACTGCATGTTAAAACAGGCCTGATGTTCCTTCCTAACTCCCGCGTTGTGAAACGCTCGGCAGACCTCACAGCTGCGCCGTCCCTCACCGCGTCCTGCGCCGGCTCCGGGCTGCCTGCCCTGGCGGCGCGGCCGCTCGCGCCGCAAACCTTGGACCCTCGGCCGGCAGCGCCGACCTTCGTCCCGCCAGAGCCTCGGCCGCTTCTGGAGGGGCCTCTGCTCCCCCCATCGGGCAAGGGCCGCGCTGAGCGGGCCAGGCACTCGCCGCCACCCGTGCGGTCACCCGGCCGCTACGGGAGGGAAGGGGGGTGATCCTAGAGCTGGCGCTTGGGGTCCCCTTGCGGCCTGCGCTCGCCTGGCTTAGCGAGGGATGGGCTGCGCGCTCGGAGACGCCGTCTCCTTAAAGCGTTCGCTCCAAGTAATGGGTTAAACACTGCGGGCACCATTTCGGTCTTTGTTTTCGGAGAGCGCTTTAGGCCAGGAAACACCCGTCTTCCTGGTGAGAAAGGGAAGAATATTTTCAAGAGTGCTCCACCCACAGAGAAATAAAATTGATGTCTCATTATTTTAAAAAAAAAAAAACCCTTTTATCAGCATGCAAGGCAAAAAACACTGGAGATTTTTTTGATAGAAAAAACATTCACCTATAATAAACCCGAGGCATCACTCAGGATGTGCTCTGGAGTACGCCAGAGGCCACATCCTGATCATCTGTTCTGTCCATGAGAATTTTACACTTCATTGAAACTCTCCTACAACCCCCTTCTTCCAAGCTCTGTACTCTTCTGCTAGATCCATACAAACCTCCTTTTGCAATTCCTAATGGAAAAAAATGAGTCAAGCTCCACAATATTTAAGGTCCAATATCGCAGAATTACAAGCTGAGAAAACAGGAAGTAGAAAAGCCTTAAATAGAAGCAAAAAAAAAAAAAAAAAGCCTTAGCTATTAAGAATCCTCTGTCAGTCCCACTGTGCCAGTGGGAACAGTTTTGCTAAGGACATTCATTTGAAAGTATTACTTTAATCCAATAGAGAAGATAGTAAAGGGAATCAGTTTCTCTAAGGAAAAAGGAAGATAAAAGTTACCTGGATTTTTTTCTCTCTGTTTCAGACTAGAGGCTGTTACATAATGATTGACCAACTACTAAGAAACATTCTTACCTGCTTGGCACCTCTCCCCCAGCTATCTCCCAGGTAGGCTTTCCCAGGATAAGAGCACTCAGTCCCCTCTGCTCATGTGGGTCTGGCCCAGGTTTAGGTCACTGCAGCAGAACAGAAAGCAGCAGGGCATTTCCTTGCTAGGCTTGTGCCCAGGATTCACCTCAGGATACATAAAAGCCAGGCTAAACCAATTCTCTCCGTAATTAATCACAATTCTGATGTATTTCACAGATTTATAATTTGTCTAGACCAGTTAAGTCCTGCATTTAGCTTCCAGGCCGTAGCACCAACACTTACAGCCTCTGGACTCCCATCCTTCGGCACCCTGTGCGGGGACACACACGTGTTTGAGGACACACGTTGCACTTTTGGCCTCTTCTCCTCTTGCCTCCGTAAAGAGGAGGCTTGGATAACGAAGCATCTCAGGGCTGAACGTCAGCCTCACTGCACGTCCGCCCCCAGCGAGCTTCCAAAATGGGTCAGTGACAGAAACACCCAAATCGCTCCTGAAAAATCTCGTGATAGCTGTAAGCTCAGCACACCACAAATGCATCTTTGGTTAGCAGCCGGCTTTAATGTATGATTTGATTTAAATTATAAATGAAAGTAGATAATTTTTTTTTCCTTTGGCAAATTAAGTTGCTCAGAAGGCATTTACTATAATTAGTTATATTAAAACTAGTTTGCTGTTGCAACTAATAGCTGGAGGGCACAATCCATGTTCGCACAGATGGAACTAAACCTAATCCGGCAGCACAGGACACCTCCTTCCAGACCACTTAAAACATGCTCTGAACCCGGATGTGAGACACTCTAACGGGAAAGCCAAACTGCTTCCCCCATATACCCTTCTCCTCACTTACCCTTTCCTTTTTAAACACAAAATTATGGTGCCATTTTCAGTTTACGCCACACGGTCTGTTCAAATAGATAGCAACATACAAGAGCTGTGATACAATTTTCTTTATTAAAAATAATTTACAACATCAGTAACATTTTATGCACAATTGTCAGCAATTGAACTCTTAAGATATATCTATACAATACTTATTGAACTTAAAACTTACACTGTTTTGTTGGCTTTAAACAGTAGACATTGATTTGCAGTTTCTTAAATATGATTAATATACATTGTTTCATGTCCTTATACTTAAGTGTAAAATTTCAAAACACCAACACTATCCCAAGGCTTTATAGCTTGGGAAGGGGCGGGCGAATAGGGATGAAAGGAGAGAAAAATATTTAGAAAAATTGGGATAGAGCCTTTTCCAAATCAACCTGGGAAGAGAATTACTAGGTGCAATACATCTAACAGAGTCACTTCTTCAGACAGGAGCATTTCCTCCTATGCTTTAAGATATGGAAAGAGGTCTAATTGCACATGGTTTGTGTGATCACAACCGTGCGGCCGCTCTGCGGGCTGGAGGCCGACGCGCTGCCCGGTGCCCAGCTAGCGGGATCCCAGCAGCGCGTCCCGCCGGCAGCGCCGGGCTGAGCCGCGGGCGGGGATCAGGCCAGGGGCCC